AGGCCTCTTGCAGAGTCTCCCGGGGCTGCCAGAGGCAGTGGGGTCCACAGAGGTGACTGGGGGGGACAGAGCAGCATCCAACCGCTCAGAGGAGCACCTGGATGGGGATGGCCAGCCTTGTCGTTAGACTGAAAGTCCTGCGGGGGAACAACGGCAGACGGGGTAGAGAGCCATTACGTTCTGCCTGGAAAGGCCAGGAAGATGTTGATCCTGCTCAGATTCCCTCTAGTTAGAAAACACCTGCCCTGATGAATTCCTGCCTGCCTTACGGAGGACCCTGTCGTCCTCACGACCAACCACAGAAAGGACGCATGGCTGTATCCAGGCCAGGGAACAGCTCTCCCCACCCAGCATTTTGCCAGCTCGATTTGCAGGGCACAGGAGTGGAGGGATCACCCGTACACCAAAACAGAGCCTGGTTTTTTCTGTACTAAATGAAAAGGGGAGGGGGGCAGGGAGGGTCCTAACCCAACCTGTGATTTTGGGGTGGGAAAGAAAGATAACAGTTCTTCTCACCCCAGGACAACATTTGCTTCTGGCATCTGCTTCTCCAAGAACCACAGCACAGGGGATTAAAACTCACAGATGCATTAACAAGCTCCTAGTCCCTAAGAGGAGAGATTTGAGACTGGGGCATTTGGCAAACATGTTCTCAACACCTGCTCATTAAATCCAGTACCTCCGCCTTACTCCTGCTTGTAACCGCATATGGGGCTGGAGCTGGGGAAGGCCGGGGGCCCAGCTAAATTGGCTGAAAACTATAATTAGCTTCCAAATTACACGTACCCTCCCCTGAGGAAGGGAGAGCAAGATTGAGGGTTTACCCAAGCACCTGGCACCGCATCACGGCTGCGAAAGAGGTGGGCCATTCCGAAATACCTTGTGCAATGGAGCAAGAAACCGAAGTAGCACATGCTTCATTGCGCATTTCCTTCCCTGTGTTTCCTGAGGTCCCACTCCGCTCCAACCTCCCGCTATGCAAATACAGAGAGCCCCGGTAGAATAAGATCCATTAAGAGCCACAGAACCTCACTGGGGAGCGGGAACGGAGAGAAATCAGCCCCTTCCTGATTTCTCTGACAGCTTAAGAACCTCCCCTCAAGCTAGACCTGTGCCCCCCTACCCTGTTTACCCGGAGGTGAGAGGAAAAACACTTTGCACATGTTCAAGGGCAGACCATCTGTTGCTCTCTGCCAAGCCTGAGCCCTGGCACCAAAAGCAGGTCCTAGAAATGCCCGTGCTGCATACTTATGGGGCTGTATCAAGGATCACGGGCCGCACGGCTAAAAACAAGAAATGGCTCCAGCTGAAGTTTGGCGGCTCCGCTTCGCCAGGAAGTGCAGCCTCTGCAACAGGCGCCGTCTAGATTCCTGCTCCTTGCGCGCCCTCTCGCGGGCGCTGCGGGCACCGCAACCCAGCAGCAAATCCCGCCGGCTTGTCGTGAGCCGCCCCGAGGCTTTGTTGCGAGGGGGGCGGCATGAAAATGTTTTAAATAGATAAATAACGCGGCGCCTGGACGCGAGGCCCGAGGACGAGCGGCTCGTCGCGCTGCAGCTGCATCTCTGGCCGGAGGAAGAACGCGAGCCCTGGCGGCCAGGAAAGGGAGCCGTGCCCGGGGAAAGAGGCGGGCTGGAGGCCGCGCCGGCGGCGAGGGGACCTGCCCTGCTCCCCTTTCGTGGCCCGCCCAGGGCTCCCCCGCCGCAGGCTCCGGGCGCCGGCTCCCATCTGCCTGGGCCTGGTGGCGATGGCCATGTCCCCTGAGGAAGGCCCCTCTGCAGGGAGGTTCCAGAGCTGCCCCACGCTAGATCTGGGGGCCCGCATCCCTTCAAAGCAGCGTTGCTCCAGGCACGGTACCTATGACCGCTTTCGCCAAGGACTCATGCGGGAGTCAAGCAGAACAGTCTCTTTAGGAGACCCAAGAGCTGGCCCAGACTGCAGGGCAGGGGACTGGAGAATTTGGCCTTAAGGGCACGATCCTATGTGTGTTTGGATGGGGGGGGGTCCTCCCCAGCATTCATCTATCAGCAATGCTTTAATGCAATGCAATGCAATGCTTATGTTGTTTAACTGTTCACCTGCTGGAGCCGGTGCCCATCTCGGGCCTAAGTCTCTGTTTAACGCACTCTAAGAGAAATAGTGGCCACAGAACAAGGCACCTTATGGAACTCATGGTTGCAATAGCAGAAAATTCCTTAGCCCTGAAATGTCATCCTTTGCTAAGAAAAAGCAGATTTCCCGCAGGTGGCGCCAACACAGGGAAGGAATAATGCCTGGATGCGGATTTCCGAGTCGCACAGAGTGCTTCCTCGATCCGAAGAACCGTTCTGTGGAACTCAAAAGCCGGCACCCCTCCCTCAGGGGTTAAAGCGGTAGCCATTCTGAAACCACACCCTCTGGAAAGCTCCCTTCATGCCGATTGGGCAAAACGGCTGCACACGGCGATCGGGCTGCCCAATGGGAGGCCGCACCAGAGGAGTTGCTCCCGCCCCCGCTTTACATTTCAAAACAGTAAACTGGCAGATCGCTTCGGCGCTGGCGGGGGACCCTCCCCCCCCCGCCCTTCCTTCCCGGGCTGCGAGCAGGGATCGGATGGTGCCCTTTCCCCTTCTGCCGCCCAACGCGGGAGAGCAGACCGGGGACGCGCGCGCACTTAAAGGGGAAGCGGGAGAGGCAACGGGCCCGCCGCGAGTCCTGGGTTCAAGTCCTCCGCCAGCCCCGAATGACTCCTTGCGACCAGGAAAACCTGCGGAAGGATAAAGGGAAACCTCGCGCTCTCTTGCGAAGAAGCTCCAGCCACGAGATGGCGGGGTGGGGTCGGGGTCGGGGTCGGCTCCGTTCTACGAGGGGCCATTTCAGGTTAATTCTTATTCAGTACATGACGATTAGTGCCGCTTTCCGGACGTGCAGGTAGCACGTAACTCGGCGTGGAGGGCAACCCCTCTTCCGCCACAGCCCCGCCCCCCCGTTCCTCTGCCACCCCATCGAGACGTCCTTCCTCCCCACTGAATGTGGACTGCCTTCCAGCCCCATTTTAGTTCGCGTCCATCTGCAAATCATGCACAAGAGGCGCGCACCTTGTCACGCGGGGCCATGGATCCCAGGCGTCAGGCCCGCTTTGCCAGCTGCTGGCTCGCTCGCCCCTCCGTGAGCAGGCGCCCTCCAGATGCGCTGGTCCGCGGCTCCCACAATCCCCTAGCCGTTGCGGCACATCCGGGGGCGCCCAGTTGGGGAAGCCTGGTTTTGGACTGGGCACAGCTGCCCCACTGACGCGCTAGAGTACAGAAGGGGAGGATGCGGGGCGGGGGGGAGCCAACCAGCGGGTAGGGACCTCACGAGGCGGTGCAGCCCACCCCCTCTGGCCCAGCATTCAAAGGCCCCGAGGGCTCCCTCAGCACGGGGCGAGCCGCAGCCGCGCCCTCGGCCGCCAGGTCAGTGGCGGGCACGGTGGCGGCCGCGGAGAGGCGCTTCGCCCCCGGGGGCTGCTTCTCCGAGCAGGTGGATGCCGCGGAAGGGGTCGCAGGCCGGGACGGGGCCAAGCTGGAGAAGTGGGGCAATGAAGGACCCCCCTTGCAAAGAGGCTCTGAAATCCCCCTTCCCCACGTTGCTACCCCAGGACCCCTGCCAGCTTAGCTGCAGAAGAGGGGGAGCGTAGCGGGGAGGCGCGGGGGTTTTCTCGAAGAAGGGGCAACTCTCCCCCTCCCCGACAAACGACTGGGGGTCCTAACCTCTTCTTTCAAGGAGGCAAACTGAGACACATCCTATCCCGTTGCATTTAAGATGAGTAAACTGACCCCCCCGCCCCACTTCAGATCAATGCAAGTGGGTTCCCGGGGTTGGGGGGGGCGGTGCGCAGCCCCAGAGTTGCCCCCGTGCCCGATCTCTTAGCATGCCAGGACTGCAAGCAAAACCGGGGTGTCCGCCGCCCCGCCCACCCACCCACCGCACCCCCTTCCCGTCTTGCTCTTTTCGTCCGCCCGCGAGGCGCCCCCGTCCCCCAGCTTCCACGGGGGGGGGGGCTGGCTCCAGCCGCGGTCCTGCTCCACCTGCCCCCG